AAAAGTTTAGCAATTTCCAAGTTTTAGAGAAGGGGACAATAGAAAAATGGCCTGAGTGTATCTCAAGGACAAGCAGAACTCTACTCTTTGAAGCCTGGAAACAGCAAAGAGGAAAGACTCCTTTGAGAAAAGAGCCCCAGAGCACTATGTCCCAGGATGGCCATGACATAGGGAATTTATTGCTCAGGATTGCTTTCATAGCCTTCAGTAATCCAGGCATTGACTGCTATAGCAAGTAGAGAAAGGAGACTAACTAGTGCTTTACCGGGCTGCAGATCTTACCGTCTTCCACATGGTGCTGTTCTGGGAACATACAAAATGCAAGAGTTCTGGTATCAGGAAAGTTTCTGCCCAGATTTCAGATGAACTACTGTGAGCAATGCAAGTGTATCCCTGATGGCATAGTGTATGCAGAAGTGAGTGTAAAGCCGAAGGAACAGTGGAGACACCAGAAATTTGGAGAAGCTAGAAGAGGAGATCTTTTGAGGAGATCCTCAAAAGTGACTAAATCCAACCCAGGTTAGAAGCCCTGAGAGTTAACACCAGGGATAGTTTTCTAGGAGCTGAGATACCCAAGCATTTTGGAGTTTATATCTTGCTGTGGATTTCCTATAGTTCTGGCCATGAAATTATGGGATTGAATGTCAGGTCTGCAGGATTTTGGTTTTGCTTTGGCCTCATTCTTTCCTATGCCTCTATTTATACCTACTGGGTGAACAAATTCATTTTGTGCCTTTGCATGTCAGAAGGACCTAACTTTCTTTTCATATGTATGTGGACTAGCAGTTAAGTACGTGCCTTAAATCTCAGCAGAGAACTTGTACATAGACCTTTCAGCAACTGTTGGCAACTTTTAAAGATAGAATAATGCATTTTGAGTAGAGGAAGATATCTGAATTGATTGTGGGATGGGGTGGCATGTTCTGCCTTCTATTTTGTTGTCCACCAAATAGAGATGTACTCCTTGGGGGTTTTTCAGATGTGGCTGTACCTAAGGTGTTTGATGTTGTGTGACAAATAGATTAGCTCACAGACTGAATTAGCACAGAATTGTGGGTGTTGCTATAATTTAATGGAAACAGAAACAATAAATAGCTTTTAGATACTATCATGAAAAAAACTTGAGGCTTGGGTAGAATATAAAGGGCCAGAAGGAAGGGAGGCTCACTGCTTTCTGCCTGCTCTGTCATGGACATTTTCTCCACTGGCATGTGCCTTTCCCATATGACCTTGCTTTGGAACCAACCAGCTATGAACAGAAATCTTTTCAAAATGAATGAAAATTAGCCTTTCCCAGTTTAACTTGTGGATGTGGGGTATTCTGCCCAACAATGGAAAAATATCTGTGACTTACCCCTGCCCCATGTACACTGTATTCTTACATTTAAGATGTTCTTTTGCTATAGCACAGAGCATGTGCTCAAATCTATGAACTTTAACAGAGCTCCTGAAGAAGGAATAGTACCTTTAGCTCTACTCAAAAAAAAGAAAGATGGTAATCCCAGAGTATGGCAAAGAGGGAAGAATTGGCAGCAACTTAAATGAACACTACGGCAGAAAAGGTGCACGCAGCTACAACTTTTTGACATAACTAAGACAAGCATACGACGTTGAGTGAGCAAGTAAAGCCCTATAAAATGAACGGATATATTGGATGTGGCCAATGCAGTTCAAGTGGGGATGTTTCTGAGCAAGAGCTGATATGAAACTATGTGCAGCAGAAAACATGATACATGGCCAAATCATTAATGACATTTCCCTGTGACCACATCTACAATGATTGTATCCTAGGGTCAAGGATATTTGCCAGTGGTACAGTCGTTTTCTTCTCATTTACGTATACTGTGTGTAGAATAGCAAGATTTTCTGTTCTTTTTTGATCTTGGTAGAATCAACATGAGGAGCAGAATAGGAAAAGGCAGGAAAGAGAGAAAGAGAAAAAAAGAAGAATCAATATATTTTATGCACAAACATGAATTCCCTATATATGATCATTACATGTATAAAAAGAGCACCAACAAAATTTATATCAAAAAAGAAAAATATATAAATACTGATAAGCAACATGACAATCTGCCAAATAGCCCTCTAAACAAGAACACTGGAAGTGTGAGGGTACCGCCATCATGATGCCTTGGTGAAACTGTCCTGGGGTCTGCAGAAGATAGCGGTTGCTGAGCAACATAGAAGCAAAACTTCTTCATAGGTACACTGCTAAGGATCAAAGCAAAGAAAATCCCAAGGTAATGAATGAAATATGTTGTTGGAAAGATGTCTGTTCTTATTGAGTGGCATATTATTTATTACATATCCAGAATTAGTGGAAATAAAATGAAACTTCAGTATTCTGGATCCCAAAGAAAACAGATAACAAATTACATTGGAATGCAGGGAGTCTATTGAGTTCTAAAATTCCTATGCGGTCTGCCTGTGAGTACAGTTTAGATCACTGAGTGACAAAATACATAGGAGAAAGTGCACAACAATAACCACAACAAAAATTACTGAAAGGATCAGTGTCCTAAAGAACTCAGTACATACCCTCTACTTCAACCTGGTGAGTGAAAGGATCAGTATTCCTTGTCTAATTAAACTCATGCAGATATAAGGGACACAGGAAGGACACTCATGAGTGTGCTTAGGTGGTTCATAGATTTGTGGCTTCGTGTCCCCTACCTGACCTCTTGTCTCTGGCTTTGACTCCATTTGTCCTGTTTCTTGCTGCCATCAAGGGAACAGATTTGCCACTGCCCAACATCGCATTATGTATTTCCTGCCTAGGGTCCTACAGAGAATCAATTCAACGTTCTAAAACCAAGACTCAAACAAAACTGCTTCTGCTTTACCTTGGAATTTGACCCAGTAAGGGGGCATGTGTCTGACACCAGAGATATCTCTACAGTTTCAGGCAAAGTGAAATCAATAATTCCTCTCATATATAATGCACATATTCTCCTCTTTTGTCACTCTTGTTTGTTTGATATACAGAACACATGCTTAAATTAGAGAAAGTTACAAACACTTTCAGTGTATGATATTCACATCCCTCAGAATTTCCTATTTTCATTTCATGTGAATGTCCTTCAAGAGTCACACGAAAGCCTCCAAAATATTTTCATTTTGTGCTTGGAATATTATATCTGTGTGTTAACATACAATAAGGGAAGGACACCATTTGGGGATATGAAACACCATTGTGCTTCTCGGAAAAACATGAATTGCAAGAAGGTAGGAAAACTGAACTGACAGTTGGGGCAGCCTTGAATAAATCGTGTGCAGGAAGTAAATGCAGAATTTTCTGTTGAAACTTTCCACAAAAGCTGATTTTAGAGTCAGTTATTCGGCTGAGCATCAATCCTAAATGTCAAACACAGTCTTCAATGGCAATTACGTGATTCTCAACTGAGAGAGGCTGGAGACAAGGTGATTTAACACTCACTGTTCATTCCACACCGTTAAAACTTTCTGGGTCAGGGAGGATGGAGATGCTCTCACAATCCATTTATTCGTGTTAGAAGCTCTCAGGCGGATGATTAAACTTATTTCACAGGAATTATATTCATTTCTTAAAATGAGGAGATCAGAGATATTCTTGCAGACTACAACACACATTTACAGGGAAAGAGAAAACTTATCTCCAATTTCTGTCAGGCATCTCTGCCTTTGATGATTGCACACGGAACATTTTATCTCCAAGGAGACAGCTAGAGCTGTTCGCTAAATATGGTCAGAGTTATCATTAAAATAACAGTGTGGTGTTGGGTTTCTGAATAGTTTCACCCTACTCTCCAATTTCAATTGTTTCATGCAATGACTTGAAACACACATTCATGAACTTTGCAATGACATTTGTCCTTAGGTGTGAAAGAGAGAGACCCCAGGTCTTCCCAAGCAGAAGGGGGGCTGAGAGAACAAATGATTTCCACGAATGCCTCCACATGAGCCTACACTTCCAGGAGTTCAGTCTATGGCTCTCAGACATGCTGACACATGAGAGGCTGCAGTGCCTATGCTCTCAAAGAGTGTGAAGCAATGGAAAGAGATATCTAAGGTCCCCTTTGGTTTTGGGACCAATTGCATAGGATAAGGTTTGGTAATTTTCTACACCTGCCCTTAAAGAGAGGAGATTCGAAAACTTTACATGCATGAGACCCACCTGAAACTCCTAGGTCAACAAAACCCATCTCTGGTGGATTCATATCAAGTGTGTTAATTGGCAGGACCTTAGGGGGTGCTGATCCACAGAATGGCTGCCTGAGAAAGCATGAATTAACCCAGTAGGGAAGGGAGACGTTTAGAAAGAGAACACACACCATTTTTTAGTGTCGATCAAAGGTTTACTACAGATTTCATAGGAAAGACGATACAGGCACCCCTGTGGTAACCCAGTACACGAAACACCCATTTCCCGCCTCAGGAGCTACGACACTCGGTCCAGGTGGGCGGTTTCGTTGAAGTCAAACCAAGTTCATGAGGCTGTTCTCACATTCCATGGAGCAACCCGAAGCGTTCCAGCTACACATCCCTGGAAACTTGGTAGCCTCGGCCTTTGAACAGGTAGAGTTTTCACAATGTCACAAGGACTCAGGGAGATTGCTTGAAAAGACGTGATTTTCCTCGTAGAAATCCTTGCATCACTGTCTACGAAATCCTCCCGTCTTCTCCTCGGATTTCATAGACAGACTTGATCCCCAAATTGCCCTCTCCATGGGCCCTGCTCAATATCATTCACTCTACCAGGGAAGACGACTTTGTCTATGACGACTCCTACAAAGCTTGCATTGCATCTCCCCTCCCCTCTTGGCACTCTCTAAAGGATCCCCACATTTTCCAGTGCAAAGAAAGGAAGCTTTGAGCATCCTGAGCAACTTTCTGGTCGCTGTGCAAAGAAAGCAAGGAAGGGGATTCCTAAAATAACGTTGGCACTCATTGTGCTACTGATTGCAGTCCCACCACATTCTATCCATCAGCTGCACATGTTTGAGAGTGATGTGCAGTATCTAAATCACGAGCACAGTTCTCTTGCCCTGGTTGTTGTTCCTGTTCTTTTTCTTCTTCTTCTTGGTAGCTCTGGCGCTTCCTCCTAGACGAGGTGCTTGGCCCATCGTGGACGACTCGTGACCTGAAATGTTTCTGGCTGCACTGGATGGGCAGAGGTTTTCGTCTCCTGAATGAGTCTCGCTCAGCTCAGCTGTGTATTTTGACCGGTGCATCAGGACTGCATTGGCTGGCAGGCTCCACTCGACTTTCCTAAGGTTCCACTCAGTCTTCGGTTGGTTTTGCTCTTGGAGAAACTTCCACTCATCTAAAGAGCTCTCCTTCACCTGTATTTCGTGGGTCTGCTCTCTGTGGGAGAGCATATCCTCTAAGTGGATATGTTCTCTGTGGGAAGCTACTCGTAGAGCTCTTAGCTTTGCACACATATCCTTGTGCACAGACCCAAGGGTTCCTTCTGCTGACATGCCACTATTGTCTCTTTCCAGGAGAGAAGTCTGGGCATAGAAGAGGACATAGGCATCTTGAGCCAGGACAGCAGTCCTGTCACAGGCAGTTACTTTGTTATCATTCATCTCATACCAGTGTCCATCCCCAGCTTTGACGTAAGAAAAGTAATGTCCGCTGTGACAAGTGCGGCCAGCGTGGACCAGCACAGCATAGAGGGTGTACAAGCCTGGTCCCGTGTTGGGCTCAGACACGTAGGGCTGCATGTCGAGCCACTCAGAATACTGCACACGCTTAGCAATCTTCTCCCCCGTGAAGTCCGAGAAACGTTTTAACAGGAAAACAAGGACCTTGGGGCAAGTGTGTAAAGACAACGTCTTGGAGGCAGGCACCTTTTGGAGACAAACACCACAATGGTAGGCGTTTTCCCCACTGAGTTCCTCGGGCTCTGCGCATTGTGTCAAAGCTTGCTCCACGCTCTCAGCTGCCTGGATATCCAGAGGAATGTCCAGATAAGGGTCGAAGGTGTCCGAAGTGCTTCCACAGTGGAGACACTTGATTTGAGATCTCCAGTAGCCACCGAAGATGTGCTGCATTAAATCCCGGTCTTCAGAGTGAACATCCACCTTCTGCATGGCCTGGACAATGAACGTGAGATACTCATGTGCATCTTCCTGCTTTTCTCTGTGGAAGTCGGCAAGCAGCGCGTGCAGAGGCTGGATCACACGTCCCGGATGACGGAGAGCCCGAGTGATATGGCGTTGCATAACGCACATCATGCAGGTCCTCGCACCAGCACAGCTTGGCCTGTGCTGCAGGGCCAACATGTGGGTGGCCAGAGGCGGCGTGTAGGTCAGGCACTGCAGGGCTGCATTCACATAGCAAGTGTTCCCCATGTTCCGCAGACCAGCTCCAACTCCATAGGGTGTCTTCCAACTCGGCAAAACTTTGTCTGTCCGATCCAGCTCTGTTGCCACAGGAAAACGCTCAGTCTTCTGGCCTGGCTCGGTCCAACTGGACAGCAAGGTTTCTGTGGGAAAATAAGAAACAGTGAAAGTGAGCACGAGTGCAGCTTGACTGAAAACAGGAAACTACACAGCATCGTGGTGACAAAAAGGCAGGCAAAGACCCAACTCAAGGACAAAGTACAGCCTGAGCTCTGTGAGGGCCACAGCCTAAAAGTACTCAAGATTCCCACTAACAGAATGCTCCAAATCATCAAAGGGACCGCACATCCTGATGCAATTTGGGTTCCTCTAAGAGAGGGAAGGAAAGCTCAACATATCGCAATCGATGCAGGGCACACAGCACCAAAAGGGAAGCAAAAAGAAAAGTCACAAGACCCCCTCAGTGGATGTGGAAAGAGCCTTTGACAAAATCCATCCTCCATTTCTGGTCAACATCCTGAGGAAAACACGCACCAGAAAAATGAGTGTCCCCAGACAAACGCCAGTTTGCACCATCCTACTGCCAGCTTTTACTATGACTGACCCCAAAGCCAGCCGCTTCCTCTCTGCGATGAAAACAAGGCAAGTATGTTTGTATCCACAGCGCTAAGCCACACAGCCCTCCAATGCTAGCGCAAGCAGGCAAGAGAAGGGAATACCAGGAATCCGTCTGAGAGAGACAGAAATCAAGGAAAGATTATTTGCAGAGAGTAGCAGCCTTGAAATTCAGGCACTACAAAATTCCACCCAAGCACTCCTACAATTAATAACCACATTCAGCAACACATCACAAGATATGTTGAACACAAACATCAGTTTCATCCTCTGAGGCCGCCGGTCAACCTATCAATGCGGAAATTACGAAAACAACACCCTTCACACCAGCACCAAGAGCGTGTCAATACATAGACATAAAGCTAATCACGGAAGTGAAGCGTGTCTACAATGAGACTCCCGAACTCTGCAAGAGGAGATCACGTGGAAGAGTTGAACATGCAAGATCTCGGCTGCTCTTAAAGACCAAGCACCATCTCCACAAAATGGCCGACTTTCCGGCGGGATACACTTCCTGACACTGCAATTCAATTGACCATAGCATTGCTCGGAGAACAGGGGAAAAGCACACTAAAATTCTTCGGAGGGACAACTAAACCCAAAGAGGAAAGCTCTGCTGAGCACACGTCCGGTGATAGAATCTTCAGGATTTCAAGATCCGTTTCACACTTCTAATTAATGAGGAGCAGATCGGTGGGCATGTCGGCACACCCGGGGACCACAGTCAAACAAAACAGAAGGGACAAACAATGCCAGCCACGTTCAGATGCCTGAACTTTTGTCAAATGCACAACAACCCAGCAGAGAAAGATAGACTCCTGTCCCCTCGGTGTTAGGCAAACCAGCCTATCACGCAGAGACCCTCATTTCTCTCCACAAACTTAACTACAATCCACACGGAGGAAATCAGGCACGGTTAGAGCAGGAAAACGGAAACCGTGGGGACATTCCAATACACAAAGTCTTTCCTGAGCCCTGGATACCTACATTCTGCTTGGATCATCAGCTGCACCACAATTCGACTCAAGACTCCACAACCAGGAGTCCAGTGGAACCGCAGTTCACAACAGAAATGAAACGTTTTCGTAGACCTTGGCAAGCACAGCCCCGAAATGAAGCGGAGGGAACAGATCCAGCAAGCGGAGGCACAACACCCCGCAATCACCACGCTGGTGCCAAGCCTGCACTGCTTTGAAGACAACCTCGCAACGAAAAGCTCTCTGAATAGAGACTCACCTCCCCCCTTGGGGGCAAAGGCCTCCACGTGTCCATCCATGAGGAAAAAGCAGAAGCTCTGTGCTCTGGAAGGGAAAGCGCACGACGAGGCGTCCCTCCCTGAGGCCCTCTTGGAGCGACTGGAAGGCCCTGGGGCTCAATCCCTTTTTATAGCCAGGGCCAGCCTTCCCGCCATCCCGTCTCCCTGGGCTCCACCAATCAGGTGAAAGGAGGGCGGGGCCTGAGGAGGGCGGGCTCACACAGGAGGGCGGGCCTTCCAAAGCTGCGGGGAATCTTACATGGGCTCTTTTCCTTACAGAGACTTTGGCGGCATGGGCGGAACAGCTCCCCAAGCCCCGCAGGTGCATTTTTCCTGCATACTCGAGGTTTGGCAGCCAACGGTATGCCGGCTGCTGCCTAGAAAGCCGGGTAAAGACTTGTGAATTGGTTCAGGCGTGGAGGGCTTGAGGTGTGGTGAAAGTAGGCTTCTGTGCAAATGAGATCAAAGGCTGGTCGCTGGGTTTGTCGGGGCTAAAGTGAAGAGAGTGTGCACTAACTGTCCTAAGGGTGGGTCGCCTCCTTCAATTCAAGGGACAGAGAGAGCTACCCGTGTCCCTGCTCTTAATTGCTTTTGCTCCTTTCCGCCAGCTACCAACTATTTGTCTCACGGTAATATTCCTCTTTCGTGCTCTCCTGCCCTGGAGACAACAGGTGGGTTACTGGATGTTGTCTGAACTGGAAACCAAAATAAATCTTCCCTCCTGAATCTTTGCCTGTGCATTACTTTCCTCAGCATCACAAAGTGTTACTAAGACCCATGTCTTACATATGCAGTTGACCCTAGGAGTTTTTAATCCTACGCAACATCATTAATACAGCCCCATCCACATTGAGTTTTGCAGCCCTGTCTTTATTTTTTTTATTTTTTTTTTTTTTGCAGCCCTGTCTTTATCCTCCCTCCTCATCCAGGCTCATGCTATGAGGCTTGAGTCGTTCCTACTCTTACTTTGCCCAAAGTCTCTCAGCAGATCCCACTTTGTTTCATACCTTTTAGAAACCAGTGCCAATTAGTGTGCTGTTGTTTCGGTTTGTGTCTGGATGTTCCCATAGCACATTCAATCATATGGGCAATTGCCTTTTAAGAGATGGCTCTAACTGTTGTTTGTGCTTGATTCATGGTTCAGTTCTTGGATTACGTGTGTGTTTGCCACACCCACCATAGGGCAGGAAGCCTGTATACAAGAAAAAGTACTGAAACAAGTTTGGTATGCTTTCTCTCATTGCTTTTGCTGTCTTCCACAGCATGAACTGTTTCTCCTCTGTCATGTGTCACCCTACCTTTGAACCTTCAGATTATGGACTCATACCTGTACCGACTGTGGGCTGTTTATACCTTTCCTTCATAAGTTTGGGTGTGGTGTCTTTTGTTTGAACAGCTACAGAAAAGAAACTAATACATGTGTTTTGATCAATTTTCTGCTCAGGACAGTGCATACCTAGTAATCACCAATACAGGAGAGAAAATCACCCCAAACCTAGTAAGATGAGTGTACTCACTGTATTTCTCAAAGACTCCAGGAGACTCCTTTCCCCTGATTCTAGTTCTAAAACAGCTGATGCATATTGAAAAATGGAGTGTTCCAGGGGCATTCTAGGGGTGTTGCTGTGTTCTGTGTTTATTCTACTTCATTCCACACAAGTAGGGAACCACCAAGGGAAACCAGAAGTGTTCTTCAAGCATTAGCTTTTGATTACCAGCACTTTCAGATAGACATCCTTGTGAGATGCTAAACACCCTTAGACTTTACAGAATGTCTTTCCAAGTATTTTTTCCAAACAAAAATCTCTCAAGTGAAAACCAGCATTTCTAAGCTTTCTGAATTGAATAAATTTCCTTTACTCTTCATTTGACAGACTCTAATCAAAATGAAATATCCTAAATGAATAATTTAGTCCTATGTCTAAATAGTTTCTTCACTCTGTTAAATGTTTCCCTTGAACACCAGAAGCTTGGGCTGGGGATATAGCTCAGTGGCACAAGTGCCTGCCTGGCAAGCACAAGGTCCTGAGTTTGATTTCTGGTACCAAAAAAAAAAGAAAAAAAAGAGCAGAGGATTTGTAGTGATTAAATTTTTAAGGTAGATACTTCCTATGTCTGGAGTTTAGCCTGATCCTCCCCTCACTATGTGGTCCAGAGGCTTGGAAATTACCTCAAACTTAGTTCCTCAGGCTCCCTGAGAACAGGCTTGGAAGTATGTGCTGGTTCTCACAGTAGGAAGTGCAGAGGGCTTTGGCTTCTTTTGATGGCATCTGTATTTTCTTCGAGTTGTTCTTGGTATTATTGCTGATTTCATGTGTTTCTTCATTTCTTAAGTCAGGAAAATCTCCTTGTATTGTTCAGAGACAGGAAAGGTCCCCCCTACACTTTCTCTTAAGAGTGTTAAACTTCCAGAGCTTTCAACTAGTTTGGTAAGCAATTGTGAATAGAAAATTTGACTTTCTTTTCACATGGTAGCAGTGTAGTCTTGCCCATTCTGCCAGAAAGTTTGACCCTGAATAGCACTTGCCTCATGAGACTTCTCATTTGGGGAAAGCTGGAGACAAAATTCTCTGGATCTGCAGAAGTTAGAGGTTGCTGACAGTCCAGTGACATCATGTGATGCATGGCCACATGATCAGGTATCAATAAGGGAAAAAGGAGACACTGTGTACATAAAATAAAACTTTTGAAATATTTCTATGCTGTTTATGTCTGATATGTCCCCCCATCAGTGACCAGAGTCTCACCAGCTCTGCAACTCTTTGTGGGCCTTCAGCTCAGGCCGAGATCCCACAACACTTCAGCTTCTAGCAGGGTGTTTCCACATGGGTGGTGCATGTTCCCAGGAGTATTTGTGACTCCATACGCCTTACTCCCTCCAGTGCAAGGATGGAACTGTTCCCTCCCTTCTTCACAACAGCCTGAGAGTACCTGTACTTCCCTTCCACCACATTTGCCCAAATTAACTCTGGAGCACAGAAAACTCACCAAAGCCTGCCTTCTCCAAGGAGGCATTTCTCTTCCCCTTTCTCCACTCCACGGGATCCTCTCTGTGTCTAGCACAGGGCTGTGAATTATATGTTTTATATTTTTAAATAAAATGTACTTTCTATTTTTTTAAAGAAGAATCTGAGGACTTACTGTTTTGGATACATCTTCTCCAATTTTTCCACTACATTCGAATATTGTACTGGCTCTGTGGTTTCATGTATACTTGTTATACCTAAACTTCTGTGTTTCTCCCTTGAAAATGCTTTGAACATTGGGTAGATTTTTTAGATACTAAATGTATGAACTTGTCACTTTCCTTTTTAGAATGGATACACCTTGTATGTATAATACATCATGGGATTGCACACATTTTACTGTGTTTCTTTCCTGAAATAAAGACCACTCCATTGTAATGTATGATCTGTTCAATGTATTGCTAAATTTCTTTGTGATAGTTTATTGAGGACATTTTATTCTCTCTTTCTGA